AATTTTTTGTTTTGATGTCAAATAAGTCTTTCTGTTTTGCTTTTTTGTTAAAGCAGTGTTGCTGTTGTAAAGTTATACAGCTACAGTTGTGTTGCTGGGTTTTAAAGCAGGTTTGATTTTTTATTTTCTTCCTTATCAGTCTGTATTTACAGGATTTCACTGTCCACTCTGTTCAAATGTGGATGAATGGCTACACATAGATGTGTCCAGAGCTGTGTGAGATCACTACCATCCTGCTTTTGTGGGGGTGGGTAGGGGTGTTAAATAATTATAATATTTTTTTTGTTTTGTTTTTTCCCCATAGGTTTTTAACATTCTAAAAGCTCTTTATTCCAAATATACTACAAGCTAGTCAGTGTATTCAGTAGGTGTAATGTATTGTACGTTGCTTCAGAAGTATTGCAAGTATTATGTACGACAATAAAACAGTGCATTGACATAAAAAAAAGGAAATTTACTTTTGGTACTTAAGTACTTTTAAAAGCAAGTACTTCTGTACTTTTACTTAAGTAAAAATCTGTCTTTACAACTTTTACTTGTAATGGAGTAATATTTGACCAGCAGTATCTGTACTTTCACTTAAGTAATGGAGTTGTGTACTTTGTCCACCTCTGCATTTAAGACAGTATAGAGTAACTACATAAAAACTGAACTCTGTACAGGTATCATGTTAGTTGGTCATTTGGCAAAAATAACAATTGTTTTAGGGAAAACATCAGGAGAAGAGTCAGCAGCCAACTACAATGCTGGAAAACTGCTGCTATGTCTGCAATGTACTGTATATCAGAATCAAAAATACTCATAGCCATATATCCAAGATAGAAATACTTGGAAGGGAAAATTGCTGTAATGACACCTGCTGGTGTCACATTTATCACTTTACAAGACATTGCTGAATATTTGAAGGAATTGAAAGCAATGGTGCACCTTAATTGTAAATTCTACTGAAGTTTCAAACTAACAGCTAAAGGGTAGCAGATTTCAGATTGTGCAAACATTTGGATTGAGAACAGGGGAGTAATGTTGGGTTATCACATCATTCAGTCAAGGTCAGGTCTCCCGGCTCATGCCAGTCAGTGAGAGCTCTATGTGCCACAGTAAACGGTGACCTGAAATACCTTGGGCTTCAAACTGGGTGGCTGATGTGCATGTCCAAAAAGCCATAGGATTATTTTTGAAAAGCCTAAAATCCAAACCTCTATACTACAGAAATATGGGCTTAAATGATATCAGCTGTAAAGGAGTCATTTCAGAGGCAACATACACTGATAAACTGCACAATAAGACTATGAACGTGAAGATTGTCCTCATTAAAAAAGTAAAGGAACTATCAAGAACCTAAACCAGATATGTGTTTAGCTCCAGCTTTGGTTGAACACACCTGAACCGACTAATCATAATCTTTAGGACTACTTGAAAACTGCAGGCAGGTGTGTTTGGAGCAGGGTTGGACAGCCATGAGCTAAACAAAGAGGTAGTTTTATTTGTAAACTATCGGTCACAGAACATTGCTTACTTCTTGTTGTTATGCTGAGAGGAGTCCCAACTGATGACTGGCTGGTCACTGCCTGTCCAGAGGTTTTCAGTCTTGAGGCACCCGCTTCATCATCTTTTGAACTGGGAATTATAACAGGAGATTTTTCTTTTGATGGTGAAGGGCTTCCAAAGATCTTCTGCACAGAGTCTGACCTAAAGACTAACTTAGGAGGAGGGACCATAGTCTTGGTGCTTTGAGCACCAAGCTTTGCTCCAGATGTCCTAACCATTTTAGGAACAATGGGCTCAAACTGAATATCATCATTCTCCTCGGTTTTGTACATTTCATCATCTTGATCGACTGAGGTGTCGGCCTTGGAGCTGGAATGAAACTCTGTAAAGCGCTGCTTGCCAGCCTCTGCAAAGCCTTTGAAAGCGGGATCATTCTGGCCAAACTGAAAACTACCTTGTGACTTCGTCAAGTCAGCATAACTACAGGTGTTAGGTTTACCAGTAATGAGGGGATTATTATCTTGACTATCAGCGTCTACAGACTGATCTGAGGAACTTGGGGCTGCCTCTTTTTCTTTCTCTTTGTGAAGCTCTGCAATATTTTTGAGGTCAGATGCAGATCCATTTTGTGACTGTCTGTCTGATGGTTTTGCCACAGCTTCTGCAATGCCAAACTTAAATCCACCAACAGGCGCTGCTGACATGGAAAATGACAACCTGCTTGATGACTTTTCAGCCTTCGTTGTAGAGGACTCAAACTTTAAGCCTTCTGAGGATGCTTTATCCTTACATGTGTCGAACTGAAAAGCAGGGCCTGGACTGAAATTGGCTTTAAATCCTGTCGCAGCAGGTTGTCTGCTAGAACTTCCTAAACTAAAGGTAAAAGAGGAACTTGACGGTGCAGCAAAGGTCTTGTTTTTAAAATTTGGGTTTGCTGTCTGACATGAAACACAATGGTTTGATGAACCTTTGTTTCTTATCAGGCAAGTGTCACAATCCCACTGTCCATCTTTTTTACCAAACATGGCAGCTAACCCACCTTGTGATGCTGCATTACTTTTTTCAATGCTGCAGGGGGCTTTGCAAACAACACATTCAGTTGCTGAGGCTTCATTCCTCACTAGGCAGGAGTCACAGTCCCACGGACCCTCATTCTTGGTAAACTGAGCACCAAATCCAGTGCCAAATGGGACTGCTGGTGACTGGCGAGGTGGGGTGTGTGTTGATTGTTGGTAGGCATACATATGCTGCTGTGGAGGAAGACGATTCATCCCCTTTACAGGGCCCTGCAGAGGTAAACAAACAATACTTTATTGATTCTCTGCCCCTTTACTGTAAGGTGTAATATATTGTGTTTACATGAAAATCCCTCCACTACCTTTGTTGGTGTAATTTTTGTAGCAGTATGTAGAGGATGTGAATAATCTGCTGAAGACTGGTTGTAGTACACAGAGGGACCTGTAGTAGCAACTGAGACAAATGGTCTGTTTTTAAGCATGTCTTAACTATTGCACACACAAGTGGCTCTCTTTTTTTGGTGATGCTCTCATAAAAACGACATTACCATATTACCCAACACCATCTAATCTAAAAATGTCCAAAAAATAAGTATTTCACTCAAATACTTTAAGGTCTGTTCACAACAAGACAAACATTTGAAAATCAGTGCCATAAACATCGTAAATTTGAATGAATGTCAGTTATTACTTCTGTTCACACTGACAACAAACATTCAAATGCAATAAATGAGACTGCATTTTGACAGATATTTTATGGAGAGGTGTTCTAATCTCTTTGCCAGTAAGATTTGTGCCATAAATCCCTAATGTATTAATTTGCATAAATTTATTGTATACCTATAAACACACATCTCCTGTGTTGTTTATTCACACACACACACATATCTTACAGCTTGTCAATATAGACATGTATGTTTAAATTTAAGACAAAATTTTAAAAATAATAAGAAATTCATTAGGAAAAAGTGATAATAAATACAAATGTATTATGTCAAGAGAAAATTATCCCTGCATCCATTCCTAAGACATTTCTAATATGATGTTCTCCATGATATGAGATGATGATGATGGATGAATCTCCAGGACTTTACCTCTATCTGAGATCTTCTTGAGCTCCTTTTTGCAGAAATCCTCCAGTTTATCTCTCAGCTCATGAACAGATTCTCTCAGGCCATCAAAAAAGAGAAAACTAAAGGAATCGTCATTTACGTCTGTAGATTCAGGAGGTGCTGAGAGAGACTGGAAACTCTACAGAAAACAGAAATCAAAACTCATCAGCTCCACATTTCACCCAATAACCTGCAGGACCATCAGATTTGTGCGGCTCTTGTGGAATTTACTTATCTTTAGTAACTCACCTCAGTCCAGCACTTTCACAGCATCAGCTTCATTCTTCTCATATTCATTATATCACACTAGAGCTACAGATTCTAGTATTTGCCACTTACACTGTATGTGAACTTTCTAGGAAATAGTTTAGATGATAAAACATCTGTTAAGTACATAAATGTCCATCTAACAGCTCAAGCACATCAATGGAGTCTCATTGAAGGGTTGAGTAGATCTGCTCAGGAAAAGCAGCTCAAAGGACTAGAAACGACTATTATGTATAACTTTAGAGCGGTTAGAGACACTGAAACTTCACAAGGACCCTTAAGACACGGTCAGGTTTGGTTTCAATACTCTGAAGCATTGCTAATTTACAGTTTCACTTCATGTTTGGGGTCTTCATGGTCAAATTGATCAATATATTACAGACAAATAATAATTTTGTGTGAAGATCACCTGATCTGATTTTGATAAAGGTTTCTCAGAATTGGTACTACTGAGTGCAGTAATTTCACCATGATGCAAGAAAACAGGAAAAAAAAAAAAATTAAAAAGGTGAAATGTCAGTAAAGTTTTGTTTAATTCTGCAATTATGAAACATTTCTCTGTGAGTCTCCTGTCACAGCAGGATCTGCTCAAGTCCACTATGATCCTGTTCTTCTAGATCTCTGTTACCTGCAGGAACTGGATGTGATCCTGTGTGTGTGAAAGCTGCTCCAGCTCAGCGTCTCTCCTCCTCAGATCATTGATCTCCTGCTCCAGTCGCTCCAGTCGTCCTTCAGCTCGACTCACTGCAGTCTTCTCCTGATCTCTGATCAGCCGTATCAGCTCAGAGCGGCTTCTCTCAATGGAGCGGATGAGCTCAGTAAAGATCCTCTCACTGTCCTCCACTGCTGTCTGTGCAGAGCGCTGTTAGGACACACAGTGATTCAGGCTTCAGTGAGTCTGAACTGAGACGGAGACAAACTTCTCTTCTTCTCCAGACTCACCTTATGAGACTCCACAGCCTCTCTCAGCTGCTGAAGATCTTTCTCTCTCTGCTGGATTCTCTGCTGGAACGTCTTCTGCGTCTCCTTCAGCTGATTCTGCAGGACAAACGGATGATAGTGAATCTCACAGAAAGCTACTGTCACTAAATCATCATGTTGTAAAGTCCACCTAACTGGCCCAACGACCGTATGCAGTGGTGGCTGAAGGCTTCCTGCGTGTCCTCAACTCTTACGAGAAATGTCAGTGAAAAACAAGAATTTGATTTGTGAAGAGAAAAATGTGTTTATTTTCTAAAATAAAACACCTCAAAATTGCAATAAATCAAGATCGACACAACAGCCTCTTACAAACACTGAAGTCTCAGTTAAGCTCAAATACTCAAAAAGGGCATACGTAAACTAATATCCTTCAAAAGGGTCTCAGCCATGTCCTCATTTCATATGAGTCAAATAATGACTAATAATGGATACTACTGGATGACCAATAATGGGACAAAAAAAGAAAAAGAAAACAAGTGATTTTTCACTATTATTTACAACAGGATCTGCATTTTCATAGGTTTAAATAAAATATGTTTGTTATAAGAGATAATACAAACAACTTTGTGCATCAAAACCTGGTAAAAAAAAACAAAAAAAAACTTTTTTTTAAAAACTTTTTGCAACAGCTGAATGTAGCATTTTGTCACACACTAGTATTTAAGAGAAGCAGAGGTCCAGGGAATACTTGCATTTCCTGGAAACCCCCGCACTACACTGAAAAAATGTTTTCATTCATCCAATTAAAAAAAATGAGGGTAATGGTTCACATCTATATTTTATAACTTTATATTTTAAAATAATATTTTCTATGTCTATGAAAACTGTTTTATAAAACCCGGCACAAAGTATATTTTTCTTGTTGAAGAAAGTCAATTAATTTAAATTCTATTTTTGATCTAAACAAAAAGATATAGATTTGGTTTGAGCTCACCATTATGGCAATCAGGGTTTGCTTTAGTTGGGCTCTTGACCCTTGACTTTTTAATGTTATTATTATTATTATTTTTGGCTGCTGTAACTGTGTTTGTAAAGCACGTTTGTTATAGCAAGAAAATCCATGAAAAAATTGTGATTAAGTGGTTTTGGTTAATTATTGATGATGGTGTAGTCATTCATCTAGTGTTTTATTCTTAGTTTCATGTTATTTACAATAGCTATATGACACTACAAGATGAGATGACAAACTATTATGAAGGATTTTAAAAACATCTTATGCATAAAACCTTTGGAACTACAGCATCATTTAGACACACACAGACATCAAGATGTCAACTATGGTGACAATCAAAAGCTTCATGCTGCAATGCATTGCGGCGTGAAGCTTTTGATTTGTCACCGTTGTTGAGATTCATATGCAGATTCTTGATGTGTGTGTTTCATAGCACATCAGAGATTTTTTTTTTTTGTGAGTCATGTGTTTAACAAACTTTAATAACAGCCTGATCAGCACTGCTCTTTCTTTCGCTCTAGTGTGTTATTATAACATTGTTTTGGTAAGAGAAAAGACACTGGATAAAATCAGTGAACCTGGTGTTTAATGATGATTATGTCATTAGCAAAACATAATCAACAATACTAAATAATTTGCCTTGGCCCTTTTTTGCTACAACAATGTGTTTAAATACACATGGTTACAGCAGCCAAAGAAAAGTTAATGTTAAAAAGTCAAGGGTCAGGAGCCCAACTAAAGCAAACACTGATCTCCATCATGGTAGTGTCAAAACAACAACAACAACAACATATAAACCTCTGTTCATTCTCAATAAGCACTTCTGTAGAGTGTTGAGTTAACTTTCTGGTTACACAGTGATATATTTTTTTTAAGGTCAATGTTTGCTAGCTCTTAGAAGTTAAAAATCTGACAATTGAGTACTGAAATTGTAGATGTGTGGAAGTAATGTATAATAAGTTAATAAATATTGATGTAATGAAAACCTTTTGAGCTAATTTGCAACAGAAGTCATGACCACTAATGTAGACATAAGACAACTAAAATGACTTTCTCTTATAGTAGTTTTGGTCTAGTCATGCCATGGTTTCCCATGTACACTTAGTTAGAATAACATTACAATATACAGAGGTAAGGCTTATCCTATTTTGTTTGGTTGAGCAACATTTTGTTGACCTAAACAGAAATTCCTTTTTTTTTTTTAAGGAATTTTTTTTTCTAAGTACACTTGAACCAATGCCAAGTGTTACAGTTCCTGCACTCTAACACCCATGCTCCACCTAAAGCTGGACTTTAGTCCGTTACTAACCTGACACAGATTTGCGGTAACATGGATACAACATAATCTACTAGAGCCAGTCATTTCAGAGTAAATCTGAATAAAACATGTATCATGCCAATTACTGCATTTCAAAGATAATCCATTCAAGACATCACATTTTCAATTATAAATCTGAAAGCAAAAGATGCATACCTGACTTCAAAAATACACTCGACACTACGGGCTTAACTGGCTACAGAATCACCCTGAGCCTTTTGCAACTTTTCTTTAAGTACTCAGACAAAGACAAACATCCTCCAAATGGAGGGAAGAACTATCAGTTGTTTCTAAGTACACTTGAACCAATGCCAAGTGTTACAGTTCCTGCACTCTAACACCCATGCTCCACCTAAAGCTGGACTTTAGTCCGTTACTAACCTGACACAGATTTGCGGTAACATGGATACAACATAATCTACTAGAGCCAGTCATTTCAGAGTAAATCTGAATAAAACATGTATCATGCCAATTACTGCATTTCAAAGATAATCCATTCAAGACATCACATTTTCAATTATAAATCTGAAAGCAAAAGATGCATACCTGACTTCAAAAATACACTCGACACTACGGGTTTAACTGGCTACAGAATCACCCTGAGCCTTTTGCAACTTTTCTTTAAGTACTCAGACAAAGACAAACATCCTCCAAATGGAGGGAAGAACTATCAGTTGGAATTCGCATCGAACTAGGTGGAGAGTTTACACCTTTTGGGGACAGATGGTAATTTGGATGAAAGACATTGGGAAAGGGCACACCCTCTACAATAAAAAAATATCTCAAAACTCTGTTTTATTTACTTCTTGTGGGAATGAGACCATTATACCAGTCACACTGAAACATTTCAAATGATAACATGACTGTGAATATCACTTGCATTCATGTACAACATATATTTCGCTATTGACCATTCTGAGTGAACTGAATGAAAGGATGGATGGGTGGGGAAGAAGGAACAAATGTGAAGGAATAATAGTTGAGAAAAAAAGCTTTCCTGCATCTTCTCTCAGTGAAATGTGGAAACAAATGATTGTATTTTAATACACTGTGTTTGTATTTTCCGTATCTCAGGTTCTTCTAGCCTTACAATGCAAACAGATTAATCCAGTAAAGATACGGTGGGGCAGTTTAAAGTTTACTTATCTGAAGTGATAACTAATGGCTGTAGGTTCAAAAGTGAAACTGATTTACATGAGAAAGGGCTTCAGATTTACATCCAAATGATGATGAATCTACACAAGCCAAAGTGAAGCTATAAACAAGTGAAATCATCTGGATTCAGTCAGATTTACTGAATAGAAAGTCATCTGTCATTGCATTAAAATTTTAACTGGTGGAAGTATTTTGTCAAATAATAGGTGAATAGTTCACTCCATTATTTTATGTTGCTTAAAGCCTATTTTACAAAAGCTTGTGTTGATAAAGGTTTACGATGCATTTTCAGCAAACAGGCTCATTAGTGAAACTCTTCTTGAAGCTGCTGTTCATTTCTGCTGACGAACACAGTGTGAATGCTGTTAGCTGTTAACATGGGTTGCAATATAAACAGATATGAAACGGGGCTAAGAGTCAGCAATATTTAATCAGTATCTAGTTTTAAATACCTGTTTCTCTGTGCTCTGTTCTGCAGCTGATACAATGTCATGGTTTTTATGTTCAATAACCGTACACAGCACACATATACATTTCTGATCAGTGCGACAGAAAACCTCAAGGAGCTTCTCATGTTTCTGGCAGATCATCTCCTGCAGTCGTCCAGTGGCTTCAGTCAAATTGTGTCTCTTTCCTTTAAAGAAACTCTCATGTTGTTCAAGATGATTCTGGCAGTAAGAGTTCAGACACACCAGACAGGACTTGACAGCTTTGTATTTTCTTCCAGTACAGACGTCACACTGCACATCTCCAGCTCCAGCGTAACAGTCAGCAGGAAGTTTGGTCTTCTTCAGTTTCTCCACCACTTCAGCCAGAATGTTGTTTTTCCCTAAAGCAGGTCTTGGACTGAAGGTCTGTTTGCACTGAGGGCATCTGTAGACTCTCTTCTGATCCTCCTGATCCCAGCAGTCTGTAATACAGCTCTTACAGTAACTGTGTCCACAGGGAATAGCCACTGGATCCTTCAGGAGATCCAGACACACTGGACACAAGAACTCATCCTGAG